CGTTAAGATTCAGAATGAACACTGTGAATGTTATGAGAATAAAGCAACAGTGAATGGGAGGGGTAATTGGTGGTGGTGGTCATGTATTAACCTGCGGATCTACTCAGCTGGTTTAAGATCTACTTAAAAAGCACTGTGCTTCATTCAAAATGTTAACTCCTCTTCATTTCTGGTGTAGAACTGACTGCGTCACTGGGAGACTGACTTATGCATGCACGTCCATGGCATCTGTCCTTGCTTTTCTAACAGGTCTCATCCCGTGATGGTATCAGTGAATTATTGCTCTCAGGCCATGCAGAACGTAGAGTTTCCATCCTTACCGAACACCAGCTGCTTGACATTCAACTAATTTCTCCCTGCGCTCCGTTCAAAACTTCCAGGTGTTATCAGAATCACTGCTAAGGGAACATTTGGAGCATCATGATTGTAGAAAAGTATGATGATTCACTTATCTTCCTTTTGTCTAATGGGATTTCTTTGCCTGCGTAGCACACAGCGGCAATGAAAGTGATTTTAGCAATGTGGCAATGTTCCTGAGGATTTTGGCCTGTTGAAAGAAAAACAAAGACCTGGTAAAAGTTCAGATATCCTGACAATGCACTGCCACTGACATTTACTTTTCCTTTGGCGCCACTAGAGGTTGATATTTGTGGTTTTCCATATCATTTCTCACCCCAGCTCACAGAACCTCTCATATAGCTGTAGACTCTTAGTGCAAGATTTATGAGGCAAGAGCCCGGAAAAAGTGCAGATGGAAGTGGAAAGTTCTTTGGGTGATCCACTACCATCTATGATCACAGATGGAGCTAGTTTATTCAAGTGATAACAACCAAAATCTAGCAGGAGTTTCTCCAATTAGCAGATTGTAAAGCAGACAGACCAACTAATAACACTTGCACAGCTTGCTACTTATAATCTGACAGACACAGCTAAGTGTTTGCTTAGGTTTTTGCTTATGAACAGCATGAATAGAATGGTGGACAAAATCCTCCATCAGGGGTGTTTTGACTCCTTCTCTGGCTAATTTCTGACATCTCAAATTTCAGGATTTATACGTAGAAAAGCGGCTTCACTGCAAACAATTTAGCCATTTAAAAGGAACAGAGATATGCAGATATGGCTCTAAACATTTGAGCTATGAGCTGCTCTTAAACTGTTATTATGCACTTGTACTTATAACCACTACCAGGATGATGTCAATAGAAAATTAGGTAAGACATGATTTTTTTTTCTGTATCAAATAATGGTGCAATTAGCTGGAAATTGCCAACTGCAAGCCTTGATATTCATGTTGTATGACTTTTCTTTCTCTTCTTTCCATAAAAGAGGAACTCATGAATGGGAATCTACAAATACATGTGGAGCTCACTGCACGTCTTTATTAAATATCATTAGTAAATCTTACATCCTATTATTTTGTACTTTGGGTTTATTTGCAGATTAGTAGTATTGACAACTTCACACTTAACAATCACACCTGTGGGTAGCTGAGTCCAGGCCTTGCCAGATAATGGCATTTACCATCGCAACACCCCATTTCATTCTTACTTCATTTAATAAATTAATTGAATCATTGTTAACATGGACTAATCTGTTATAAATGCCAAATGGGAGCCGTAAAACAAATACACCAAGAAGAAGAGTTGAGATTGAAAACATGCACGTGCATGTGTATCAGCCACTCACAGACACTGTGAAACTAGGAGGTGTAACTGCAGTGCAGGAAGGCCACTTTGCCATCGTTATCATTGCAAACATTTGTTCAGAACACTCTGTTCAAGCTCTGAAGGGGAGAAATGTTGCAGTCAACTACATCGAAGCGGGAAGAACATGCATATCTCACAATTTATCACCCATACCATTACTTTTCTCTACCTTGGAATAATGCAACTAGGTTTTACGGACTTACTGTTGCATAACTAACTACATTTGCAGTGTTTACCATGGCAACAGGCATTCGATAAACGGTATGTTTAAGAAATGGGACAAACTCCTGCCTCCTGGGATTGCATGCGCCCTTGTGCTCATAAAACCTAATAAGAATAAAGGGCTTCTGCTCTGAGTGAGGTGCACGGTGCTGTGCGGCGAAATGGTGAAGCTGTACAAGTTATTGCTTGTCAGGCTGATCAGGGGCAGGGATCCTGTCTGAGTTGATGCTGAAGTGGTGCTTTTTCCATTTCCACTCGTCACACTGAACATCGCTCAGTAACTAGGAAACCTAAATCCACAGACAAAATGAAAAAAAGGAGCCAGAGTCTGTCTGAGAAACCTGGGGGTATAGCTCACTAAAAGGCAGAAAGCATGTACTGTGGAGAAGCTAAAACACCGTATTTCTTTCTTTTTACAATCCCCGATAAAAAAAAAAGTTGATTTTAGAGAGGCCTAGTTTCTGAGAAGTAAAGATGGGCAAGGTTTTACCAATCTGCAAAAAAATTGTGTCTTTCAATTGTTGAACACTTTCAGAATAATGTTCTTAGTGGATCGCGGGTGCTGAACTGGTCGGCCTGCGATCCACTAAGCCCAGCAACTACTCTTATCAGTTCCCAGATGGTTACAGACTGTCAAAAAGAGGTGATGCTACAAACTGCTAAACATGGCCCTGTCCCAATGTTTTGGAGACATGTTTAAAATGACCTCTTTTTTTCCTTAAAATGGTACATTTTCACAGCTCAAACATTTGATGTGATTTCTATTCTTGTTTGTGAATAACATAGGTGTTTATGAGAGTTGCAAATCATGCCATTCAGTTTTTATTTATACACACACCTGTTTTGTAATTGTCTGTAAGTTGTATCTTACACTGACAATGTGTTTCTAGTTGGTTGCTATTGGCACTTTTTAATCAAAATCTTAGTCAAAACTAAAAATGTGGTTTGGAAGTGTTTGGCCCTGCAAAACCTAAAATAACAAATATGCTATTTTCCAGGGTTCATGAGCAGGAAAGTCCAAATATAACTGCAGGGATCAAACATAGACACACCCAGAACTCCAGCAATAAACAAGATAAGGAACACACATGCTTACAGCCCCATAGCTAATATTGGTGAACCCCAGCTATCTTATTTGGATTTCTTGACTCCAGGACGAGATATAATCAGACTTCTTGTAAACAGGATATTATGTTTATATGCAGCAAACACCAAAAACGGAATACTTGAGTTTCACGAATATTAACAGGATATTGATGTGCAGAGAAACGTACTCCGTCACAGCTGATCAGAATGTTCCCTATCGCGGGGCGGGCATGGCTCTCCGCTCCCTGTTCAGTCGCGCTAACACAACTGCACCCAAAAGTCATTTTCAGAGCCAATGAGCCTGCAGAAGAAGACAGAACAAGCTCCCGATCATTGGTGGAAAACTCCCTAAACTCTTCATAGTCTTTTAAGCAACATTTTGACTTTGCAATGCAAAAAGTCTGCTTCAAGTGAATACTAATATAAAAATCATTTCAAGCTGGCTTGGCGGCAGACAGGAGACGCAGCCTGAGGTCGAGGTCATCCTAATCTTTGAAATGATGCTGTCAGTAGTACCGACAGCTGCGATGTTGTAGGACGTAAACTTATCAGCATCTTTGACCAGTGGATATTTCTCATGGCATATCTGCTGCACAAAGCACATTTGTTTTCTCATCAGTTTTGATCCCCCCGCTGATACCGGCAGCAGTTTCCTCCTCCTGTATGTGGCTTAGCTTTAAGTAAATTCATCTACCGCGCAGCGAAACACTGTATTCCTGACTCGTTTCCTTGTGTGAGGCAGAGGAGAGAGCGAGTACAAGGTGGAAGGAAATGGGATGTATAATGGCAAGAGAAAAAGGAAGAGAAGCTGGAAGGAATAGTCAGTGTGAGAAACGGAGGGGAGCTTTGGGAGCTGAACATTATTTAGAGTAAATGAGGTCAGGACCTTGAGATATACACTGAATCTCAAATGTAGCTCCTCACATTTGCAGCTAGCTGAGTGTTTATGCGCTTGTGTGTGTGTGTGTGTGTGTGTGTGTGTGTGTGTGTGTGTGTGTGTGTGTGTGTTGGCATCCGTCCATGTAGTCAATAGAATACCAACCAGGTCAATGTCATTTTCCCAACACTTAAAGCCATATTTCAGCAATAAGTCCTCTTTATTCAGGGTAATAGGTTAAATTAATGCCTCATACAAACACACGTGTATACCTATTTTTCCTCCCATCCCACGTTTTATCTCTTCCCTCCATCCTCTTCTCCTCCTCTGTCATCGCGGGGTAATAAGGTCACTAAAATCCCGACCTTACATCGACTGCACCTTCCTGCATCTTTGCTCCAATCGGCCACCTCCTATCGGTCTCCTAGGAAACAGACAGCCAATGGGAAAGCAGATCAGATAGCAAAAGGTGTTTTGCTGGTGTGGATTGCTGTACCACAGTCTAAACATAACCCACACAGATACACACATGTTTAATGTAAGCTTCTCCCTGTAACAATCACAGCACAGAGCTGCAGCATCCTTTTTTGATTGTTTGGCCCTCATTATTTCCAGGTATGTGAATGGCTTCAAACGGACATGACATGACGAGATGGAAGACTGTGAGGTTCACCTCTGGTTGTACGCTTACAAAGCCCTGCCCCACAGCGGTGGTGTAAGGTTTTCATTCTGATGATAATCACAAATGTAGCATTATCTGCCTTGACTTTGTAAGCTAGAGTTATTGCTTGTGACCGAGGCAATAGACGGCACATGTTTACCCACAGCATGTGCATTAAAACAGTGTCTGTGGAGCTCTAAAACCATGAAAATTTGGGATAACCTTGTGGTTGTCATTGAAAATATGTTTTTGCACACACACACACACAGCGCTCTATTTTGGAGCAAAATACCACAGTGCTGTTCCGCTCCACTTCCACCAACACCTGTTTTCTCTGTCTGTTCCAACTATTTGTTCACCCTCACATGTTTTCCGCTTTCTCTCTGTGTTGCACAAAAGAGTAATGTTCCTCTGTTTTTTGTCTTTTTTCCTTTGTCTTTGTCTCTAGTTGGTGGGGTTTATCTACGCCTGTTACGTGGTCAAGCTTATTTCTGAAGAGGAGGATAGCTGTAAGTACACAGTCACACACCTGCAGTCACATGGTCATACACGAAAAATACCTTGAAAGCAAAATTATGTTTTTATTTTTTGAAACTTACATAATCCTCGATTTAAATGAGTACTTTCATCTCTTTTAAGTGTGTGCGAGGAATAAATGATTACATATGGGGAGTTACATTGAGATCCACAAACAAAAGTTATAATTGATTCACATAAAAATATGCGACTTCTGAAATATCAATCTTTTCAACATTCATTAAATACCTGCAGAATCGCATCTGCGGGATCCATATGAGTAGAGGGAGTTGCAAGTATTTACACGAGTTGCACAGCAGCTGTGACTTTATTAAATATTTCAAACTATTAATTATCTCTAACATGGAGACAGGATTAGTGAGATTCTACCATCAGATTTAATTCTCTGCTTCAGACAGGTGAGCTGTCTCACTCAGAGTTTATAAACACCAGTCGTACCATTTGTCACAAAGCACACATCCTCAGGTTTGAGCACTGAGCCACATTCCAACTCCTGAGGTATTTTTAGTTTACTGTTTGTAAAATTCATAAATCTTCACAAAACAGAAGTAAAACAAAGTCCACGATACAAAACAATAAAATACAGGCAGCACAGTGAAAAACACCGTGAAACAGGCAGGTATGGAAACAGAATGACATGACGAGGTTTAATTGAAAGACAGGGAAATGCCACAGGAACACACTGAAGGTTACGGAGTTGAGTGGAAACAGCTGGGGAACAAGAAACAATTGAAACTAATCAAAGATAATGAGACAGGAAGTAGACTAACCTAGAATTGAGAAACAGAAGTCAGGAGAGTATCAAAATGAAAAAAGAAAGTGATTATACACAGAGACTAAACCCTAAGACACACTTGACACAGAAGTATATAAGGAAAAGGGCTAGAAAAATAACAAGTATACAGAATAACCTCAAGCCAGAAAACAAATGTAAATACATGGGATCTGAAACAAAGTACTTAAGGCTACAAATACAAAGGAGCATGACAATCAAAAATTTAAAAAAAATATACAAATAAATTATCAAAGAATTGAATGTCAACAGATACTCAAAACTCTGGGTCCACAACCAATGACGTTGCACAATGAGAAAAAATTGCAGTTTTTTTGTTCTGTCGAATGGTTTAATCTGTTCTGAATTTTTTTGTTTGTTCGTTTGAAAAGATTTTTTTAAAAACTGTAGCCATTTAAACTGAGGATTTTAATTGTTTCTCTGGCTGCTTTTAGCGTGTGTAGAAATCCAAAGGTTGACAAACCGGCTGTTCCTGGTTACGGTTGCTAAGCTCTGACTAAACTCTGTTTGGCAAGGTTCAGTGGTTGATTTCTAATATACTGGGTAAAGTTGCTTTGAAGGGTCAGGCTTCTAAAATAAATTCAATCTGTCGCCCTCTCACTACACTCCTCCTGTCCATCTTGTTTATTCTCTTAATAAAAAAAAGCAGAAGGTTTGAATGGAGCCATTGTCTCGTTGAGGGTCGTTACCACTACTTTACCGACACAAATTCACAGTGAAACTTGTAGCCCACAGACTTAACAGCCGGGCTCATTCATTTTACAGCAACATGCAGAGAAAGAGACGTGAGAGAACGTGTGGAGGATGAAGATAGCTGAGCACATTTCTGCTAGATCAAAGTTGCTTTTCATTCATACTGCAGGTCTCTCCCTCATGCTTCCCACTTTCAACCACCATCACCAAGCAACAGTCATGGAGGGAAAAATGTGTGAAGAGAAAGGGAACTAAAAGATGTTCATCAGTCAATTCACAAAGTATTTGTCTTTATTGAGGCTTTTATCGATACATCAATTCATTAATACAACCATGCTGATTTGGAATTGGGCTGGTTTTCCAGAGGTGACACTGACTACTATATAGTAAGCGTTTTATGTAAGATGTGAGTCTAAATAGTTGCCTTTGCATGTGGCGCAGAAGATGAAAATGTGGCACATCAACATGTTAATTCAGTTTTTGTTGCTTTTAAAATGCAGTGTGCATCCTTGTGCATTTACTTGAATGAGCCCATTTACCTGAGGCCATCAGTTAAGTTATTCCGTTAAAGTAGACGCAGCCGTTTTTCCCAAAGATCAATACCGTGGCATGTCTTATTCAACAGTGAACCATGGAGGCTGCTTGTTAACGCATAAATATTGATAGGTAATAAATGCAGACTAGATCAGTGGAAATAGTTTGAAGCCTCGAGACTAGACACATTTTTCTGCTTTCCTTCCTGCCCTGAACAGATTGGGAGTCGAGATTGAAGGGGGCAAATTTATCCCGTCTGTTATAAAAGTGTGGGTCAGTACTGGGACAGGACGACCTCTATGTTAAACGAGGTCACAGCGAAAAGTGAAATCATCATAGTGTAAAAATTTAAGAACAGCTGAGAGTAATGTAATGTTACATTTATGAGACTTTAAAGGAAAATAATTGAGTTTCAGGGGTTGTTTTTGAGAGGAGGTTTTTTTAATACTGCATTTTAATAAGCTCAGTGATGACAGTAAACCTAAAATGCCACTTTGCCTTCATCTCCATGTCTAAATAATTGATGTGCAACATTTAGTATTTGCCCTTTTGTTAACTGCATTTTGGCCGTTGGCTTTCGATACTGCACATTCCTCCTGATGCTGCACCCCGAGAGAGAGAGTTTGACAGAACTAAGCAGCAGACTTTGATGAGAGAAATGTGTTGCCATCACTGTGCTTAGTGGTGTGAAATGTTGCCAAAAACAAACATTCTTAGTTTTTAAGGTAACAAATCCAGTCCCTGGAAAAAGTTTAAATAACATTTACTCATCCATGAGTTATGTAGTCCTGTCTGAGCACATGTTTCTGTCAAAGTGCAACAGCTTTATTTTTTCACATTTTAGTGCCTGTTCTTACTTTTCATTGGTTTGAGCTGATAGGGCTCAGCTAAAAGATGTCAGAGTTCACAGTATTTTCATGCACTAACAGAGACTAAGAGAAAGATGTCACCGAGAGACTCTTGAATAGAAATCTGAGAAAATTCTGTAGTGGCAAGGATGGTAATTATCCCACCCTTACCTCAAAAGAGCAACAGTCAAACCAGGAAACCTGAGAGTCAGTTGTGTTGTTGTCATACATTTTCACAGTAGTTTCTGCTATGTTGTGGCAGGCTTATGTACTCTGTCTACATGGCATTAGCCAATAATGGTTGGAGGCAAGCCTCCTAATAGCCTGCAACATCTACAAAATGGCAGTAATTTATAGGATGGTGGAAAGTTCAAGACAAAACGCTGTTTGAGATACAAAAAGAGAGATTGCTTTCACTTTAATTGATACCTCTTTTGAGATTTCACAGGCCAAGCCCTGCTTGCCTTGCTTGCCCTTGCAGAACGCCAATTATCTATACATTGTATACATGCAGGATCTCTTCCCATTTATCTAAACAGGATGTTCAGAATAACTGTCTAGAGGCATTAGCAAGAAGGCTGACAAGTGGCAGGACTTTTTTGGACAATTATTTCATGTTAACAAGACAAAGTCCCTAAATAGATAAACATGAGACATAAAAACTGCATGGATAGAATCAAAAGAGATTCCTATTAAAAGTTCTTAAAAAGTTTGGTGTCTTTGCCCCAAAATACGTTTTTTTCTGAGCTTCTGTTCCCCTGCTGATTACACATGTACTACCTGAACATCATTATAATTTCATTTACAGTTGAGTCTCTCACCACATCAGTACTAAGGAATGGAGAGCATTCTAAATAATGTCACAGTAACCTGAGAAAGATATATCTCTATAACTTTATATAGTAAGGAATAATATCTTCTACCAAACTGTTGAAACGGTCATGAACCATTATAAATGAGTCTGAACTGCATGGTGATTGTATCGTTGAATTTTTTAAATATTATTTAGCTGTTGATTGGCCTTTTGGTAGCAAAGATGGGAATTCTTTGGGTAACAGAATAGTCCTTTATATATTTCTAGACAGGATTCGTTGAGTGCCATATTTCCTCTCCTTTAATGGCTCTGTTGACATTAACAGCATAATGAAAAAAACTCATCAATCAACACATGATGAGTGTAGTGGGGCCCTTTTCATTACTTATTTATTCATGAACATTTCACAGTAGATAGAAAAGCTATAATTTGAAACCATGTTGTGAGGGACTTTAACAAATCTGGGCAAATTTCACCTCCACATATTAACAGCTGACCCATACATTCATCCATTTTCTAAATCAATTATGATATTAAAAGTGATGGGAGCTGGAGCCTATTATAGTGTACACTGAGAAGGAGGCACAAGGTAGAGTCTGGCCAGGTTGCTAGTCTATGAAATTGTTAATGCATGTTGACAAATGCATTCGCACTCACGTTCACACCAACAGGCAATTTAGAGCTTTCAGTCTATCGAAATTGCATGTCTTTGGACTGTGGGAGCAAACAAGGGCACAGAGGAAATTCCTGCAGACATGAGGAAAACCTTCAAACTGCACACAGATGAGAGATAATAAACTGCATGGAAGATTTTAATACTTCTCAAGGGGAAAATGCTATCAGAAAGAATCAGGATTCAAATTAAAGTCTCAGCCCTCTGTTAAAGTAGGGATAGGCAACATGTTTTGAAAACCATAAAAACCTTTCAGGATATTGTAATTCAAGCTCTGTGTCTTTTTTTTAGTCAATCACAAGTCCTTGGAGGTACATTGTGGTGAAACAATAATTATCTGACTTTGAACTGGAAAAGCTAGGCTTGAACTCCAGATAAAGCATTGATAAATCCATCAGATTTAATATATAAAAAACAATGATAGTGATGCTAAGCAGTGAGTCCCAAATTTTGGCTGTGGAAAGTGGTACACAATGATCCATCCTGGGTGAATAAACAATAAGGGAGCTTGGTGGAAATCAGCCTTGGGTGAAGAAGTGAAAACTCAGGACCAATAATAATTTGAGTTGCTGAGAAAGCTCATTACCTTGATAATTATTCTGTGCTTGCCTGAGCATATGTGTAGGTGTGTGTGTGCGCATGTGTATTAATCAAGATAGTAAGTGTTATCTGTCTCAGAGCTACTCAAATGTGCCAGACAGATTTTTATCAAACGCATTCGTACACACAAACGACACGCAGTTATGAATGAACACTTTAACATAGCAACAGCAACTTTTTATTTAACAGTCATCATAGAAATGTTTGACCAGTAATAAATGTAAAGAAATATAAAGTTTTGCAACATTTTTTGAGAGAGTTGCTTATGTGCTTACACTCTTACTGGACAGTCTTGAGCCTTATGAATAACAAATCTGAATTTTTAAATTGGGTAGCTACAGCTTGACAGGCAGCACGCTGACAAGCTCAGAGGCTCCATTTTCTCTAGTGTTCAAAGGGTCGAGCATGGCAGAAACTCTGCTGAGGCTATTTGACTGCAGCATGAATCAGCAGGAAACCCTTACGGTTTACACCAGGCCATTCCTCCACAAAAGGATCCACACAAAGAAGGAAAGCTCCATGCACCAACAGAGGCTCTGTCTTGTCTTTCTGAACAGTCACAATCAGCTGAATGACCACCAGAAACTGTTCCATCTGCTTTTCTGTTGTGTGTTAGGCTGATATTCAAATTTCTCATGCAAGCAATGTGAAAAAATAAAGGACAACTTGTTTTACAACTAATTAAGACTAAAGATTAAGATTTTAAGTGAAATAAACAATCAAGAAAAGTATGTCATGCCAAATTCCTAAAATACTAAATAGCTTTTAATAATAATCAGTGTTAGATTTTCATATTCTTTACTGATAATGTAGAGTATGGTTGTCTTTAAAGTAAAATTTTAAATGTCTCAGTGTTGCAAGATCTATATTAATTGATTATTTTTAATTTAACGTGAAGATTTAGTTATGTGCACAGGCATATTTCAACTTTTTTTTTTTTAATAAAAGCAATTACAGTCTGGTTGTTAAGTCCAGCATCATTATCCATTTCCGTATTGAAATGTTCCTCAACTTCCAAAAGCAAACAGAGTTGCCATTGACCATTAAAGCAGCAGTCTAAATTCTTTCAAGTCCAATAATGATCAGTGTCTTTTGCAGCTGATATTGCAATAAATCTCGAGGCATGAAAATCAGGATTCATAGAGCCAAGACGATTGCACTAAGTTAGCTGGCTAGTTAACATCTTTATGCCTCTTGTCTTTCTTCCCACATCCAGCCGGTCACAAGCAAAATAAAGATGTAAAACTAAGTTTTGAAGGGTTACTGAAGTTAGTTAAGCTGATCGAAAATTATTCGCTAGCTTCAGAGCTAGCGAATATTAAAACCATCCAACACTTTGTTTCCACCACTGTGTTACATCCCCACGAAGAGGTCTTGGGTTGTGAGTGTGGGGACCCGTAACAAATGGGTCCAGAATGGAATGAAAAGGAAACCAGACAGAGGTGTTCAGTATATAATATAGTTTTATTACAAATAATTTGAACTGACAGAGACGGCAAAGCCGTTTTACCAATAACACTAGAAAAAGAAAAAGCTCGCAAGAACAAAGGACACAACAACCAAACAGGCACTTCCGGGGGCCCACAAGCCCACCCTATCACTAGCAGCAGCAAGTTCCACTACTGCTGCTTCTGCTGCTGTTGAGGCCCACAAGTCCACACTACTCACATGAAGCAGCTACTCTCCCCACTGCTCCCACAACTCCACGCCACAGGCAGGACAATCACACAGTAGGACCTCTTTCGACATCTAGAACACAATGAAGAAACACCAGAAAAATCACCACCATCACACAGTTCTTCCCCAGCCTATATAATCTCAGAGAGGTGATTGCTGACTGGGCCCAGGTGGTAAACTAGGCCAATGAACACCAGCTGTGTCCTGGGGAGAGAGAAGAGTGAGAAAGACAAAGGGGTGGAGCAAAGGAGGAGGAGGCTGAGAGAGAACGCCACACCCACACAAGGGGAGGTCCTGGTAGGGCCTTAACCCACTGAAAAAAAGTCACAATTTCAAGTTACCGATAGATTTTCTTGAAATTTTGAGTTACAGGCTTCCATGCAATACAGGTGCGACTTAATACAGAAATTATATTTATTATTTCAGTACTAAACAAGTGCTTAGCTGTTGAGGCTAAAGCTAGCTGCGAGTTAGCATAGCAAAATCTTTGAAACAGGAGAAATTTTTCTCAAACAAAAACATCTACATCTACAATTTTAGTAACACATTATCTCTTTTTTATTTGATTTTAAAAATATAATATTTTAGTGATTAAAGGATGGCTAACTGTACATAATCAAATAATCTAAGTTGCTAAAAAAAACTGCCTTTTTTTTCTTTTCTTTTTTTTACATTTTTTTTTATATAGATTAACTAAACAAGAGTTAACATGTTGATTATCTATCTGATAATTGTAGAGCTAAGCTTATTGGGTTGCATAAAGATTTACATCAATCTTCTCATCTAATGCACGATGCAATACATACATGCAATGTATGTATGTTATTATCTTAGTAATAGACATATAAAAGCTATCTGCCATAATGAGGGCTTGTTTTGGGAATAAAGATGCCTGACTGTATGTGGTACTTGCTGTAAAATGTTATTTAGACTTGTTTTCTGCAGGTTTAAGGTAAATTCACAGCTACGTTTGCTCTATGCAGTGACAGCCAAAACTCTGCATTGTACTTGAAGTTATGAAATCTCACAGAATAAATAGGAATGTATGCTGCTGATCAAGGCAGGGAAGTATCATTTTATGAGCTCTGCAACATCAAAGTAAAAGAAATATCATGGCTCCCTCGCTTCAAAAGTCCAGGCTTTTTGCCTCTGTGTGAGGAAAGCAACCACCTGCTGGCAGCTCCTCAGCTCAGGAATCTGTGGAGCTATCCTAGATAATTTAGGAGTTAAGCGTATTCTCAAGGCATAAATATATATCGCTGCATAAGTCTTAGTCTTGCACCTAAAAATAGATAGGAAATTTGCATTGCAGAATTTTTACTTGAAGCCGTTTCATGCTTACAATCCTGATTAGCAGGAATAGAAGCAACAGAGATGGTGGTTCTGGTTCAAAATGTACTGCTGAGACCTCTGTAGGTGGAGTAGGTTTAAAGGCATGAATCATCTGTTGTGGGATGTTCCCACTTGATAACCACGGTGACATACGCTTTCTCTAATTGCTTTTGTTTTTTTGTGCAGTTGATTTTATAGGAGGGTTTGACTCGTATGGCTACCAGGGGCCTCAGAAGACCTCCCACCTTCAACTACAACCCATGTACATGTAAGTATGGGGACACTCTGTCTCTTCTGCAGATGCCTGGCTAAAATGCTTTGAGGTTAATTTTATCATATGTTGTACCAACAACATCAGTGCCATGGTCATTCCTCACTTTTTTAAACCCCGAAAAGCTCTCACCCTCTAAAATTCAACTCCAACAGTCTGTTTAGGGGCTCATTTTCATCTGGGTTTGATATCATGCATTCTGCAGAGGTGGATATAGGCACGTTCTTGCTCTATCAGCATAAGGGCTTATCATTTACCAGCTCAAGGTCTCATCAGTTATCACCACTGTGGTGCTTTTATCACTCCCCTCACAAATAAAGGTGAGCCATGTAGTGAAAACCACTACACTGTTTTTGATAATTAGCTCTTAACCATCTTTTCCACTCTGACTGGAACGAGCACCTACCAGAGTATTATTTTTGTCTCATGGAGTGGCCTTTGTTGTTGTTGCAAGGTTTTTCTTTTGCGTATTTGCAGGATAGATCCTAGTTTATATGGTAATTTCCCTAGACTCAAACTGTGGATTGCAGTTTCATCAAAATCCTCGGCTGCTCTTAGGCAGCGAAGCCAATAGGAGATCACAAGACGAGTCCAGGCTCAGACAACCGTGCATCAATCTCACTGTCTCGGTTTGTTGTGGGGAAGGCGCCGAGCGAACGCAGGAAAGAGGTCCACCAGTGTAACAAACAGCGAGGAAAAGTAATGGTGATTCCACTGATGTGCAGCGGGCAGGTTATCAATAACAGTTTTTATTAGAAAAGAGCCAGAGCAAATTAGAGAGAGAGAGAGAGAGAGAGAGAGAGAGAGAGAGAGATGGGTGAGAGGCTAGTAGATGAAGAGAAAGAAAAAGAGAGAGGAGTGGCTAAAAAGAGAAACAGAGAGTGATGGATGAAACATAGGACTAAACAAAGAAGAAAGGCAATAAAGGACCATTCTGTAGTTTTATATCTCCCCTGTGGAAGCCATAACACGGGTCATAAATCATCAAAAAACCCTCCACACACACACACACACACACACCTCCCCACCCAAGATAATTGCTGGAAACACAAACACACATAAACATACACACGAGAGCTGAAGCATGAGTACACACAAACTCATACGCAGAAACATCCAGACAGTAGTTGTGCTTGTACACATATGGACACACAAACGTACTTTACAGTATATGCACACATACTGACACAAACGTCATCAATATGCTATCATTGTTCTCCAGCTGTTGTCCCTTCAGTTTGGTGTTTATTGGCTCTGGCCAAAGGGACCAATAAAAAAGCATCAGCTGTACCATCCCAAAGGAAAAACACACAAACACACACCTACACACACACACGCACAACAGTCACCCCTCCAGCCTTCTGTAGAAATGTCTTTCTTTTTACAAAGAAAAAAATGACTTTTGTGGTTTTATGATAGAAAAAAATATACAGAGCTGAAACTCTTGGAGTGAATTTATTACACATTTTATTTAGTCCTCATCTTTTTGTCTCACGCTAATTAGGGGTGGAAATTGATAAGAATTTAGCAATTCTGATTCCATTATCAATAACACTTATCTATTTGATTCCTTATCCATTCTCTTACTGATTTTCAGTGGGTTCTCATTGGCTCTGCCATTGCTAAGCAGCATATCAAAGACATTACATTCATGCAAATTGATTGCAGTGCTATGTGGTCAAATGTTTGTGCATGCTGGAGGTATTGCAGTACGATACTTAATAACTCCTAGAAGAAAATAATTTGTTACATTGCTTTTTACTCTGTAAAATGACCTGAAACACATTGTCTCAAAGTCTCTTTAGGCTACAGCCCCATACATCAACACAAACCCCTGTCCTAATGAGAACACACATACGATCTTTCTCTTAGTATTTGGTTATGAACACAAAACTGACAGCGCTAAGCAAAGATGAAAACCAGCACAAAGACATTTTGAGAAGTCTGACTGCTCATCAGGTTGCTACGTGTTGAAGTTCAGGGTCTGACAGCTGAGCTGGGGTTAGTATTCACTTATCAGCTTTAACATCATTCTGGGTTCTTGGCTAGCTTAATGTTAGCATGTTCTCTGCACAGGTGCTTGCAAAGAGGCAAAGTTGTGTTAGCAGTGTAATGCATCTTCTTTCTGTTCTCGATGCAGTTTGCACTTCATTTGCTCCGGCTCTTTTTATCATGCTCTCATACGTTTCTGTAATAGGAATAAAAGTAGTGTCCATATCCACGCTGCAGACTTTGACGCTAATTTGCTCCTCTGACACGCAAACTGAAATCAGCCGACTGTAGAACGAGTACAAGTGGAACCAATAAGTGGAATCGAGGCAAGCAGACTAACAATTGGGAACCAGTTGTTTACAAGAACCAGTTCTTGGTTCCCATTCCTAACGCAGCTGACCTCTATTGCATTGTGGCATAGTTTTGAATGATAGGCTGGATCGCCAAGAATCATCTGATTTCAAAGTGCTTTATTTTGACAGCATTCACTTGTAATATTTAAAACACGTTCTGTTAGAAAGAGGGGATTCAATTTTTACGTGGTTGCTGGTAGGTAGCATAAGACCAGCAGTGACTGCTGTGAGTACAGTGCGCTGTATTGCCAAAAGTATTTGGGTTGAGGTCAGGACTCTGTGCAGGCCAGTCAAGTTCTTCCACTCCAAACTGGCTCATCCATGTCTTTATGGACCTTGCTTTGCACTTGTGAGCAACTATGTTGGAACAGGAAGGGGTTGTCCCCAAACTGCTCCCACAAAGTTGGGAGAATGAAATTGTCCAAGAGTCTTGGGATGCTGAAGCATTAAGAGTTTCTTTCACTGGAACTAAGGGGCCAAACCTGACTCATGAACAACAAACACCATTATCACCGCTCCATTCAATTTTACACTTGCCACAATGCAGTCAGACAAGCACTGTTGTCCTGGCAACTGCCAAACCCAGACTCATCATGGGATTGCCAGACAGAGAAGTGTGAGTCGAGACTCCAGAGAACACATCTCTAATGCTCTAGAGTCCAGTGGTGGCATACTTTAAACCACTACATCCGACGCTTTGTAATATTTGTTATCCTTAGAATGAGAAATTACAAGTCTTGAGCCATCCACCATTTCTTTATGTTTTGCTAGAAAAATAGGGAAAACTTGGAGTGATTTACTGAATTGTGTGCAAACATACATGAGTTTGTACAATTCTAGCAACCTTGGTATAACCTTATTTTTAAACATTGCCTGATTTCGCTCAGGCAATCTTTCTTGTATTATTTTTTTTAAATTAGTCTTCAGGAATAACTCTTGAAGGCGTGGTTCACCATCATGTATCGTCACTGCACAGCAGCAAGATCCTGAGTTTGAATTCGTCAGCTGTCTAGGGCTGTTCTGTGTGGAGTTTGCATGTTCCCCACGAGTTGGTCCTAGCACACCAGCTTCCTCTCATAGCCCCACATGCAGAGGGTTAGATTCATTGGTCATTCTAAATTGACAGGGTACACATGTCAGTGTGAATGGATGTCTGTCTCTCTGTGTTAGCCCTGCAATAGATTGGCGACCTGTAAAGAGTGTAACCTGTAACGCCCTAAAAGTGGAAGAAGATGGATGGATTGAAAACACTGCACAGTGTGCTAAAATATGATATGTTTTCAGCTAAAGACTAGAAACTGAAGAAATGGGAACAAATAATGTGTTTTGGTAACAAAGTGCCTCAAGATGCATTTTAAAATGGTTTCTTAGCTAAGTTGTCTGTTATGTGTAGATACACCACTGGTTTATCACTTGAGTGAGGGGAGGTTTTTTTGTACTTGAATGTTTCAAGGGTCAGTGTTAAAGGGCCTAACAGAAGAAAAACACTTCTCTGAAAATGGTCAGGTAAAAGAAATGGGCTGATACGAAATAGTGAAAAAGCAGCCACTGCCCAAAGAAAAACTTTTTTCAGAAAAATCTGGAGAGCTGTTGCTCAAGAGCGCTCTAAAAAAAAAAAAAAAAGACAAGAACAGATGGCTCAAGACTTTTTCAAAGTACAGGTTACACGGCTACCAAATCTTAGTCTTACTCTTACAGTTAGACATCACTGCATTAAAGATGATGTAATATGATTGCATTAATGTCAGATGATTGTTTTGGCAACAAAAAGGGGGTGTGGGGTATCACAGAGCCAGTGTACCCTTGAGATTGTCAGGCTCTCTCTCGAGTGTTATCTTTCACAAAACACATGGGACAAGTGCTCATGATGTTCTCATCCAGCAACATTATCATGAGTAAATGACTAAGTCAGGGAGCGTACTGAACACAATGTACTGCTTAGCATTTCAGCATAAACCTCTTAACCTTCAGTGTTCTCATTTTTACGGAAGATTTGACCGTGTCACATACACTTTATGTTTTCATGTCTTATCGCACCTTAAAAATAACTACTTACCAGTTAGAATAGAAATAAAATCATTGGCATTGTTTTGGGTTTTCTTCATCTTGTCTTTTTTTCCCCCCACAGGTCAAAATAAGCCCAGAAGCGACTCCAAGAGTGCTGCCTTACCAACGATTCCTGCTTAAAATCCTGTTTTTATTACTCCCAACTGTCTTTTAATAAACAACAGAGACACAGACAAGTAGACAGGGAACAGATGACTCTCTGCGATTCAGCTCACAAATCTCCCCAAACACTTGGTCAGATGGCTTCCCACTAGCCTGTCTTTCAGTGGAGTTCCTGATGAAACATTGGCCTCATGTGGCTCAGCATGGTAACTGCAGGACATTTTTCATTCCTTCCTCAGACCCGGTCAGTAGCCAGTGACTTGCTTCTCCCTTGTGCTGCTGGGCGTCTGCTTTACGAGGGAAACCGAAGGGATGCAAAGAGGCCACGCTCGACGGTCGACGGTCACGTGTTCCTGCGAGCTTCCAATGAGAACTCATTCAATTTTCTGCTGTCAAAAGAAAAAAAAAACATGTTTCAGGAGCGCTGGTTAAGTGTGTTGGTATCTAACAGCTCTTGCGCCTCACCAAAGAGTTTAAAAACCATCCCCGTGCACACAACAGAGCCTGTTTAACCTTCTCTGGAACTTTTTGCTCTTTGTGCCTGACTGATTAACACTTGGAAAAGTCCAGCGAAGAATCTCCGAACATGACTACCGATTAAGGAATGTTAAACACCTTTCAAAGTTTTTTTTATTTTGTTTTAGTTATTTATTTATTTATTTTCGGTGAATTTCAGGATCTGGTTTTCTAACGGTGATGGCCAAGACGGCAGGAGGACACATTTTACTCTGGCAAAAAAATGTTGAATGTTATCCAACAGCGTTGATTTTACCGTCCTCTCATCTGTGCATGCGTACAGGAAGCAGACGCATTCACAGACAGGCGTTGAGTAATGTACATGTGAACGCATGCATGCACACAAACACACACACACACACAAACTTAGGACAAATCTTAGCACTTCACTTTTTTTTTTTTTTACTGCTAATGTGAATCTTAATGTTTACAATTGAGAGACTGAACACTTGACTGACGCAGCAGGTAGAGATGACCCACACTTCTTAGCTGCAGCATCCCAAAGGTCGGGGTGTTTTCAGCCATACAAGGAAAAAAAAACAGCTGTGTCTCTTGCTGTATAAATATTTCGTCTTCCACCCAAGATACATACAGAGATGGCAACAAAGACAGAAAATGTCACAGGAGAGCGACAGGTTCCCATCCGTCTCAGTCCTTGTGTAGACTACCCCATATCTGTCACCGAACAATCGATTCTCTTTTTCTTAATTAGACTCTTTTGTTTTTTTAAAGAAAGAATGGCAAATCACCCTTTTTTGCAATATCCAGCTCTTTTTAATAATAATTCAAAAGCAGCCAAAATCTTCTGCAGGCAACACTTTATATAAATGACAATCACAGTCAGAGCAGCCTGTCGTGTCGTGAATTGGCATTTTTCTGTCAGTTCAGGGAGCTGGATGTTAGAGAAGGAAACCTTCCCGAAAGATGGTGGTCACCGTCACTGGAGAACAGGGAAGCCTTTAAATGATATTCTTTGATGCATTATTTGATGTTTCGCCTTTGTGGTGAATGATAAAAGATTGAAAGGAACAAATGGGGAAAGCAAGGTTTGCCGTATCCTTGCACACCCTCGCCAGCAGCCTGATGAGGACAAAAAAACAGAGAAAGACATTTAGCAGTTCTCCTCTTTCACTTCATTGCTCCACTTTTAATGCTTAAAGTGCCAACTGTACCATCACATAGACCTCTGTAGACCTCGGTTTCAGAGAGCCGCACACTGGGACCAATAATAGTAGGTCTCAAGTTTACTTTGCAGGGTTTCCATGAAAGAAAACTGATAAAAGAAATCACAAATTAAAATTATATTGGCATTCCAGATAGCCAGCAGGTTTTTTTATTTTATGTTTTATTTTTATTCAACTGACTCCTCCTGGAAATGTGACTGATGTTGCATTTGTATTGTAATCACTGGACCAAATGTTTTGAGGCCTTTTTCTTTTACTGAGAAACTCTTTTTTTTTTCTGGTAGGAAAAACACTGGCTTCTCACGAAAGAAGGATGGACAAGGTCAGACTGTTTTCCTCAACAAAATTCGTCTCAAAATCCACCTTAAGCACCCCCTCGGCCAGTATCTTCAGCAGTATATCCGTTTTGTAATGAAACTCCAGGCGTTTCAAATCGCTGCCCTGTGGGGCTCCGCCGACGGTCGCTCCGGAGGACAGAAACAGCATTTTGTGTGTTTGCATGAGGTGTTTCCCAAACTGTTGCATATTTAATCTCATGCTGCGTGTGACTAACTAGCTACTTAAAAATGGGAACTGTTTGGTTTGTCGAATGCTCCTCAAAAGCTCCTCCAAGAGTCCTAAATGTGAACTTTGTGGGGTTTTTTCTATAAATAACACAGTCTGAAATGTCTGCTGAGTAAAGGGAGAAAAATAGCTACTACGATGTAAAACTATGAAATGTAACTTTGACCTTCTAGACGTTTTTTATTCACATGTGGCTGTGTTTACTGTTTTTTCTAGTTGACTAATACTGTATGATGTTGTGTATAAGTGGGACTACTATGTTTTACTTCTTCTAACTGTATAGTATATTTGAAATCAGAGCGGGAAAGAGAGGACAAGGCGGAGGGAGAGTATTAGTTGCACTATAGGCTGTAATTGTTTAATTAACTGGTCTGTTAGGCCTTAAAATTCACTTTCAATTCAACACATAATTAAATTAACTAATATTCATTTGTATTTGAACTGTCAACCAAACACATGCACATGTGGCTTTCTGACAGCTTGGTTTGTTTTGCACAGTTCAAATCGGGAAACTGTGAAAATGTTCCATTATTGTGAAGCTTAATTGAAAGAGCTGGTCAGTCGCAGCATTATGAAATGACTTTATTTGAACTGAAAGTGGATTTTATTTGTTAATAAATTTGTCTTTGACCACGCTGTGTAATCAGTGATCTAGAAAGTCCTAATTTGGTACATTTAACAAGCGAGAAAGGATTTCAGAAATATAATGTGACCCGTGTGTGTGTGTGTGTGTGTGTGTGTGTGTGTGTGTGTGTGTGTGTGTGTGTGTGTGTGTGAGACCACATGTGGGACTGTGTACTGCAGTGCATTGTTTTCTATGTCATGGTGAACTATGCAGACTTGAACCCCGAACCTAACAAAAAGACAATTAAAAAAACACACGCTCTGCTCTAAAGCGAGGTGCCACTTTAAGCTGAAGGAAGAGCTTGTTAAAGGTGAAAAAACAGCAATAACAACAGTAATAATACATTTTTAAAGTAAAAAGGAAGACAGCAGCTACACTGTTTGTTATTTATCTTGAGAGCTGGTTGAGCCCATTTAGACTTTGGAACAGTCAATAGAGCTTTTGTGTGATAAAAGGAAAAAAGAATTTGTAGAAGAATTGAGCCAAGCCATTATTGTGTTGATCAGTGTAAATAAACATTCAATCAAGCCAGTGTAAAACTCTTGACACTGCAATAAAAAAGCTCCAAGATACTCTGTGTGGTATGAGATACCAGTTAGCTGAGTTCTCTTAGATAATTGATTTAGGTGGAAATTTGCGCTTTAATTTAAAAAAGCATACATTCTGGAGGGAAATTGGTTTGTTGAAACAGATAATCTTCTGTTAGACGAGTGTTTGAAAATGCAATAAGACATGATCATCTTATATTTAGCAACTATTTTCACAGTACAATGTTACGGAAATGTGCCACTTACTGAAAGTGGGAGCAGAGACGTCCAGTCTTTTCTCTGTGGCTCTGGGTTGATTTGTTGAAGTTCACCACTGACTAGAATGTACCATGTATGTATGTTAGCGCCTTCTCTTCATATGATGGGTTTCCCACAGGTGACTGACTGTACATAAACTAGACAGCTGGGATTAAAGTAGAGTGTGGAGAAGGAACGTCTGTACTGTGTCCTCTATTCTTTGATTCCTTTTAGACATTAGCTCAGATTATTCATCCCAGCTATATTATGCATGTAAATTAGTTTAGCATTTACAGACCGGGCTATTTCTGTGGACTTCAGGGTTTCTTATCAAGTATACGCTCACACTTTGCTGGGACTGGGTTGGACCCAATTTAGCCTTTGGCACTGCCTTCGTTTGTTGTAGCACAGCTTCAACAAGGTGCTAGAAAGTTTTGCTTCATATTGACATGCAAGCATCACACAGTTGCTCCAGATTTATCAGCTGCACATCCAGGATGTCAACCTCCCGTTCCACCACATCCCAAAGGTGCTCTATTGGATTGAGATCTGGTGACTGTGGAGGCCATTGGAGTACACATCGTCATGTTCAAGAAACCAGTTTGAGATTAGCTGAACTTTGTGACATGGTGTGTTATCCTGCTGGAAGCAGCCATGAGAAGATGGGTGCACTATAGTCATAAAGGTACAGACATGGTCAGCAACAGTGCTTGGGTAGGCCGTGGCCTTTAAATGATGCTCAGTTGGTACTAAGTATGTTGGAAAATATCCTTCACAACATTACGCCACCAACAACAATCTGAACCATTAACACAAGGTAGGGTGGATTTATTATTTATTAATAGACAAATGACATTTGTCTATTGTATGAATTTGAACTGTAGTATTAGTATTCTATTCATAACTGGCCCAGTTTAGTCTTCTGCTGCTTCAAGGTTCAGTGTGTTGCTCATTCAGAGATGCTCTTCTGCTTACCCCGATTATAATGATTGATAATTAGGTTATTTTTGCCTTCATGTGAGCTCATAGCAGTCTGTCCATTCTCCTAAGACCTTTGGCATCAAGAAGACATTTTCACCCAGAGACCTTTTGCTTACTTGATAGTTTATCTTTTTCCAACCATTATCTGTAAACCCTAGCAATGCTTATGTTGGAAAACTGCAGCTGATCAGCAGATTCTGAAATATTCAGTGCACCCTTGTATCAACAACTACGCCTGTTTAACTCCCACATGCAGTCAAAACTGGGAAGCTGTTGTTCCTGTTCCAAAAAACTACAACAGTCATTTCAACATATCAATGTTAAAGGAAGGAATGACACATCTACCCACTTATATGGGAAAACATTCCCGGAGTGAGCAAGGCCAGTTAATTGTAAGGCTGAAGAAATGCTGAAGAATGCAAGTAGTTGAACTATTTTATACCCTGCACACTAGTTACTTTTTGACCTGTTTTGTGTAAAACAGCACCTTCCTGATTGGGTTTGAGGCCTTATGTAATAAACGTGCACTTGTAAAGATTTTTTTTCCTCTCTGAACATTGTTGGCATTCTCCATTAAAACCAATTGGGCACAACCAGAACAAGAAAACTAATTAGTGTGTGGCCCCAGCCCTGTGGCATTAATGAGAAGTTGTAACAAAGCTAACAACCCATTTTACAGGTACCCTACTTAGATTCATTTGAAAGTTCTACTGCAGTAAAAATGTGTCCATTCAAACTGCTTTCATTCTTCACTTTTCCTGATGAAATTTAACCAGAGCTGGATTTTTATAAAGAGGGGAACTGTGAGTGTGATGCAACAAAGAGTAAGTGGTCTACAACAAGTGCTATTGCTCGATTCTTTCTTCTCTGAGTTGTTATAATGAGTTGCACAGCAGTACAAAGTGATGTATTCAGTTTCTTGTAAACGAAGCTGACAAAGATTCAGTATCTTGCTCAAGGACATTGCCACAGCAGATACACAGCAATCTGAAGTTTTTTGTTCTCCTTCAATAAAATTTCCCAGAAATGAATTGCCCAAAGACCTGTTAGACTCTTGGGGGGGGGGGGGGGGGGGGGGGGGTACAGTAAGAAAATACAGACATTATCTGTATTTTTTTGTATTACAAAAACACATTATTATGAATTAAGATACACAAACCTTGGTCAGATGGACTGTTAATATTTTTACATTACCAGAATGATGATTATATGCTTCAATGGTTTGGATTGCTCAGCAGTTATTGTAAAAATACAGACTAATGGCTTTTTACATTTATGAACATTTATGAAAAGCTGAAATGTGGCAGGAAAAAATAAATTAAATTATGGTCCAATTCTCTGTCGTAATGGGACAAAATGGAAAATTGTTCAGACAATAAATGCTCACGATTTTTAATGTTTTAATATTGTATTTGCTAAATGTGATCATAGCTCAGATTTTTTACAAGCAAAACTTATTAAACTGAACATTTTCTTTAGATTTACAAACAATAGTTATAAAAGAAGGCTGTAATTTTATATTAATTTAATGCTGAAATGTCAAAGAAATGTGATGGATTTTTTTCATTTAATTATTTTAACTGCACATTATAAGATCCAGCTGCAGAGCTGCAGTCGTTACAAGGACAGGTTGAAGAACCTACGAGGGCAGGGATGTCACTTGTTTTATACTATGTGCCGCATAAGAGGGCCGCTTTAATCTTAAGTGAAACTGAATGATAAATGTGTAAAATTACAAAAAAGGTTATGGCAGTTCATTGCACAGGTTGTCCTGTAATGATAAAAGATAAAGTTTCTGTTAAACTGTAGACTCGCTGTAGTAATGGAAACACATGAACTTTACTGTCTTGAAATTGTTTATCTGTTAGTTAAGTACTTTGGTGTAGTATGAATGTCAATGGGCGAGTCTTTATCAGGAAAAGCTGTAAAACCTATGAAATACAGTTAAAAGTTCAAAATCTGTGCACTCCTTCACATTTGCTAAAACTGTACAGTAGGCTGGATTGGGAGAAAAACTGATTTTTTTCTGTCTTTTCTTTTTACAGTAAAAATAATTTATTTCAACTAGTGAAAAAAAGAGGAACTTTCTGTCATTTAAATGTTTATCTATTACTTACTTTTTACTTCGTGGATGTTAATGGAGGAGGTCTTTATCAGTGGGAAACACAGTAAACGCTAAAAACCGATAACCCCCCCCCCCCTGAAAGCCATACATTTCACACCCGAGCCTCAACTCTCGCGGCCCGGTACCAAACGACTCACGGACCGGTACCGGTCCGAGGCCCGGGGGTTGGGGACCGCTGTTCTAAACCATCCAGTGGGCCAGATTAGAGTCTTTAGTGGGCCGATCCTGGCGTTATGTTTGACACCCATGTACAGAGGCCTAGGACAAAAAAACAAAAAACAAAATAACCAGTGGGCCAGCCCTTCTGGCTCCTCTTCCTCACACTTAGTACCGGGAGCACTGTTTTTATTTGGTGGCATAGATTAAAGGGGAGTTAGGCTCTCTCCGATCTCCACCACTAGGCTTTCCATCGGCCTATCGCTGCTCTCCTTCACGCTTACGACGACACCCGGAAGCAGCGACCTGACTGCTTTGTTTTGTTTTGGTAGTGGGAGTTGGGTGAGAGGCAGACAGACGAGCAGGCGGCGGTACGCATGGGAGAGAGCCGCTCTCTAAATGGGGAGAGCTAAATCGGGAATGGAAAATGACGGCCCGATAGCTGACGCCTGTAAAATGCCGAGTTTCATCAGCGGCATCGAGGAGGGGAGGGTGAAATTGTCCCGCAACCTGCCGACACAAACTTCCCTCACGGACGGTAAAGTTGAGCGGACGCTCGGAGATTTGAGCCGACGTGTCACCAGGTCAAACTCTCGGCTATCGCTGGACGAAAGCGACAGGGACCCGGGGGGGAAGGATGCGGAGGGCAACAACAACAACAACTGCAACGGCGGAGGGAGAGCGAGGAGGAGGGCGAGCGCTGTCGACATCCTGAGGAAGAATTTCGGGGATTCAAAATCTCCCTCTTTCCGTCTTAACAGAGGCAGTCGGATGCAGTACGGAGCCGAGCTTGAAAACCACGAAGGAAACGTTAACGACACTCAAGATTATGTACCTGATTGTAGCGGGTCTACAAAGTCGGACGTAGAAACGGGCGAAGCCGAGGTGGAAAACGAACCAACCTCGAGCGAGTTACCGAGTTTGGGTGTTCGGGCAGTTGAATTGTTAACCGTTACAGGTCAGCACCATCATACGTGTGACAACAGCGGCAGCACGGCCACTCCGGAGGGGTCTGTCAGTGCCAAAGAGCACGTCTACTGCACCGTTTACTGCATTGCCAACGACAGCCATAGACAAGACGCCGAAATCACGGACCGCTCCGATGACACGGTCGCACCAGACGCGTCAGAACGGGACTTGGAGACTGGGCAGGATGCGGGTTCGAGTCTCGAGCCGCAACCGTACACAGTGGACGACCTGGTGGATCCTTTCGGGGACTTGTCCCACCGGCTGTCCGCGGAGCAGGCCGGCGCCGAGGGTGCGATGCAGAGTTGCCGGGTGTGCATGGAAGAGAAAACCATCGCACCCCTGCCCTGCTGCAGGAAGGCCGTGTGTGACGAGTGTCTGAAACTCTACGTCAGCTCCCAGGTTGGTTGGGTTAGGGATCAGTGGGGGGGTATCTCAGTGAAAACAAAAGGGGCCTGTCCCAGAAGCAGGCCTCGCTGGGTCGGTCAGCAGCAGCTGGCCGAGGTGTCCTTGAGCAGCAGTAACTTTGCAGTCTTCTCCGTCACCCTTTTCTGGGGCTATATTTGGCATTTTATCCACATTTAGAAGCACGGGCTTGGCTTTCGAGCATACCAGGTGGTGACCCCCAACCCCACGTGTTTCGCATGCGTCCAAAAAGATCCACGTTAAGGGTTAATTAACGAGTGAGTGCGAGAATCTACAGGTCTTCTTGTCTTGTGATGAGTACTTTTTCGGTGAATCTGGGTCACAGACGCATGCCACACCAAAATTGGGACCTGGCAGCGGTGGTTTTCACAATAGAGGACTTTGTGAGAGCTCTTTGGCTTATTCAGCGTCTTTCTCTCAGGCTCTTTAAGAAGGATCCCACCTTCAGATAGAAGACCTTTATTCTTATGTGCATTAGTATGTCCAGTTGCATCCCAAAGGGGCACAAAGTGTGGGATCATCCCCTTCTGGGTTGATTCCTACATTCCCAGAATGCCTTTTGGTATCTGGAGGAATAAGATGGATAAAAACAGCTGCAGCAGTCAACACAGAAGCAACAACGTCATAGTTGACGAATGAGTTCTTCCACTATAATAAATATCAGTGTGGAGTCTCTGTTGCTTTATGCTGATCCATTAAGAGAATTAATAATTGATAGATTGATTACTCTCCAGTATAAACAGCTATCAGACTGCAGCACAAGGCACATTGCTGCTTCCTACCAGGCCTGCACGATGTAAGGAAGCTCTGCAGTGTTCAGTAACAGTGGTCAGCGCTGCCATGACTGTGTGACCTGTGATAAATAAGCAAATATAAAATTGTGCGTATTAGCAGTTATTTTCTGCTTTAATAGCTCCACTGCTAACACAGACCCCGAAACACTGACTAGTCCACTGAACAGATAAATTAAATAACCGTTTATTGTACATGTTCACTGCACTGACAGTAAAATTACAATTTGCCAGCCCGCGATGCTTTCTACCAGAGGTAAAGTGTTTCAGGATGGATTTTCTGCCTTTTTGTGGCTTCTTCATCAGACTGTTCTGGTCAGCAATCTTTCAGTCATAATCCCTGTTGCTTTTGCAGCCCAGGGAGGAGCTGCACTCTCATCTCCTTGCTACTGTTGCCAAGATTGGCTTTAATCTGTGTAGATAACACACTTTTTATCAGTCATTGAGGCTCATTTTTATCTGCAGTTGCCTTGCTTTGATAACAGGGTATGAACATTCATGCAAATACAGAACCAAGCCGGCTCTCTGATGAGCACACTGAATTATTATTATTTATTTTTTTTAAAGGGTCATGTACATTATCCTGTGGAGGTGGAATTTTTAGCACACATGCTTGGCGCTTACCCTCAGTAGAAGCGGTATGTCAGATGGATGTGGTCACAGACACTTGGGAATTGGTGGTTTTTTTGTTTTGTTTTTCTGTGTTTTTGTTTTTGCTCCTGGGATCTTGGTCAGGCTTTGCAGGATGGATGGATGTTGCACTGAACCGCTGCCAGCCGTGTTGTTATGACAGTTGTTATAACAGGGATTAAACCTGCAACTTTCCTGTTGTGCTAAATAAAGACCTAATGAAATCTAGGCAGTGTAATCGCTTTCATTTCCAAGGTTATATGTATCAGGACATTAGCATGTTCTTAAATGAACACCAGCACACGATATATTACACTGTGTCGTCATTTATATAACAAAAATTAAGCCAAAATGCAGAAGCAGAGTGTGAAAAGCTGAGTATCCTACGTGATTCAGTGGAGTCACCTTTAGCGGCAGTAAGTTGAAGTGTTTGTTTTCTGTTTGTCTCACATGATTGTGGAGGAACTTTCAGCCCGTTGGTCTTTACAATGGTCATTTCAATCAGGTCGAGGTCTGGACTTTGGCTGGGCCATTGCAACACATTGATTCTTTTCTTTTTCGGTCATCATGCTGTAGATTTGCTGCTCTGCTTGAGATCATTGTCTTGTTGGTGATCCAGTTTGAGCCAAGCTTCAGCTGTTGCACTGATGTTCTCACATTTCACTCTAGAATACTTTGGTGTACAGAGGAGTTCATGGTTGACTCAAATCATCACCCCTCCATCATCAGTTGTTATGAGGTGCTGATAGGCTGTGTTGGGTTTTTGAAAAATGTGGCACTTTAGAGTCTGAGAAGTTGAACTTGTTTTTTAGTTTTTGTTTTGGGGGGTCAAACGTTGAGGTGAATGCGCTGCATCATCCACTCCTGGGAAAAATCTCTTCAACATTTTACATGTTTAGTCTTTCTCAGTGTGGGATGATGGGTTCCAGATTGTTTGGAAATGGCCTTATAACCTTTTCCAGGCTAACGGGCAGCAGTAGTCGCTCCTCTGAGATCATTACTGATGCATGTTAAGACACAGCTGAATGCTTCAGACCAGCAAACTGCCAGAACCTCTGCTTTCATAGAGGTGCTCGCACTTCCTAAAGATCCATTAATGGGGTTCATTTGATTACCAGCACCTGGCTGCTACTTACCCGCTTAGACATATGACAGAAGCAGTATGGGTCTTATTTAGTTTTTCATACACTGCTTCTCAATTTTAGCTTAGTGTTATTAAACAAATAGTGACGAGAGGTTTCATGAGGTCAGATTAACTATGGGAAAACCCTATGAGCCAAAACCTCAGGCTTCACATTGCCCATAATAGTAAGTTCTAGACATTATTTTGTACTCTGTGCTCTGTATGATGTCAGCAAAAGTGGAAATCCCTAATCAATCATCTCAGGGACACATCCACCCATCTGCTCTTCAAATGTTCAGTTCAGCAGAGGCAGGCACTCAGCTGAAAGTCGGCTTAAAGGGAACAGGAAGAGAGCGCTAAAACAGTTTTTTCATACAGTTGATAAGCTGGCTGAACCTGTGAGACAAATTGTTTTACTGTGAATTCGATTCAGCTTTATTTCTATAGCACCAATTCACAACAACAGCCACGTCAAAGGAGTTTATATTGTAAGGTAGAGACCTGACAATAATACAGAGAGTACCCCAACAAGCAAATAGCCCCCTTTGAGCAAGCACTTGGTGACAGTGGGATGGAAAAACTCCCTTTTAACAGGAAGAAACCTCTGGCAGAATTAGGCTAAGGACGGAGCAGCCATCTGCCTTGACTGGTTGGGTATGAGGGAAGGGAGACAGGGCTGTGAATCGTGCAAAGCTACCCCAGTAGAGTACAGAATACAAATACTGAATCACAGATTGCCAAACACAGGTCCCTTTTAAAGCCTCCTACATTCCTAAACACTTACTACCAGTTGTTTTACTTTAAGGCAGCATGATCTCATTTTGGTCCACGTCATGCTGACATCATCTGCTGCTCTTACGAATCTGTTATTCAAAGCTGGATGTAACCCAATGCTGTTAGTTTACAACCCAGCCTCAGTCAGCTAGTTTTCAAATACGTGCAGCACGTGGCAGTTTACGTGCTCGGACTGGCTCAGGTAGGTGAACGGTTCACTGCTTATGTGGTAAAATCAGGTTTCTGGTTATATTTGATTATGTTTTCACTCAAGACATTAAAACCACAGAACAAAGTCACCTGTATTTTCAGCAGACCACACTCTGTGACACGTGGAGGTGAGAAATAACCAGTCAAACCAGTCTGTGCTGGTCATCCCTGCGCTGCTGTTGTGGCAACAATATCAATATAGCTTTGGATGATATATGCTAACTTTATATGCAATATTGGGTTTTTGAGGGGTGGGTGATATGGGTGTGACACCATCAGAAGTTGATGCTATTGTGCTTTGTTTTCGGCCTGCCATTTCTCACACACACACACAAAGGGAGAAAAGACCTGATCATGTGTCAGTATAACAGGTCTCGCAGGGTTTGATGGATTTAATGTGTTGAGGAGACAGAGAGAGCGAAAAATGAGGAAATGAAAGATGAATGGAACTAGAGAAGATCAGCCCTAGCTGGGAGGAAGCACATTGAAAAAAGTTTGAAACGAAAGATGGTAAAAGAATAGGAGGCAATATTTCCAGTGGGATTTGAGTTGTCTCTAATCCTGCCCGTGACATTTACTGCATCACATACTGCATTATAGGCAGGGTTAGATGACATGAGTTTGTGTTTGCCGGACATTTGCACGTAGCACTGTAAAGGCTAAATTAATGACTCATGATAATAACAGATTGTGAAATTTCCAGGATTACATGTCAGCCTCCTGAAATCGCTTAGTCAGACAGTCAAAATATCCGGCTCACCTTTTGGTGAGCAGGTTTGTTTACCTTAGCCTCACACGCCTTCAAGAGAAGTCTAAATAAAAGAGTGCACTTCTTCCAGAGTGCGTGACCTTATGGTTAGTTAGTGTTTTACTGGATCACCAGACTGTGGTTCAGTTCCACTCAGAGTTACCAAGTTCCAGGCACTCACGCTGCACTAATGTGCCCACGTGCACACGCTTTGTCGTAGATTAACCTCCAGCGGCTGCACGACCTCCCTCTGCCCCTCAGTCCTTCTGGTCTTTGGTGAATTATTTACCATCTCTCATCAGTGGTGTAAATATATTCAGCATGTAGATTTGGGCCAGAGAAACACACCATAACAAACCGCCGAGTGGTGACACACGTTTTATGAAGCTTACCGATTTCTTTGTGGAGCCTTTGACAGGTTTATCAGTAACATTTAAAAGTAGAACACCCTCCTCTGAGCCTCTGCGTGCATTAAAAGCAGCTTTTTCCACGATGCCATGTCATCTGTCTGTGTTCTTTCCCCAGGTGCGAGTGGGGAAAGCTCTTATCAGCTGTCCGATCACGGAGTGTAGTGGCAACCTGGAGGAAGGACTGGTGATTTCCCATTTGACCAAAGAGGAGGTGGCAAAATATCGTTACTTCTTGGAGCTGAGTCAGCTGGATTCGAGCACAAAGCCCTGCCCCCAGTGCAGTCAGTTCACTTCTCTCAAGACGCACACCCCCAACCGCTCCGAGCACAAGTATAAAGTAAGTTGACGTGCCGGCGTTGACAGTTGCCGTAATGTTGTACAGTAAAAAGGGATGCTCGCAGCGAGTCGCAGTGAGCTGTGTGATTAAAAAGAAGTGCCTCGTGCCGCTGGTGTGTGCACTAGGCAACAAAAGCAGAGCTGGGGTAAAAGTAATTGCTTTGGTTAACTGCGAGTGGATCAAATCAGATCCCAAGCCTTTATTCACGTCAAGAGCAACAAAGACCAGGGTCCCCTATTGATGTATGATTTTATTTGTTCAACCGAAACCACATCCATAGTTCACATCTGCACAGAGATATTTGCTGCTTATCGTTTCCCATCTCTCTTCCCCCATTCCCTGTCATCTCCCTACTGGCAAATTCTTATATTTAGGAATAAAATGCCTCACAATCCTGGGGAAAAAAACAGGCAAATTCAAAAACCTAAAGGTCTTAAATAATACTTTTGTGTGATGTGTGTTTATTTGTGTATTATAATGTCAAATGCTCTTATGAAATTGGGCAGAGTTTTAAAATAATAAGGTAATCAGTGGGAAGTAAGACCTAAGCCTTGGTTTCCAGCCTGTGCCTATCTGACATCAGCTCGACATATATTTTCCTCTTGTAGTCATCTATTACACAGCTGGAGGTGTGGGTTTGGGTGAGCCCTCGGTGAGAAGGCGGAGCTTAAAAGCAGCAGGTTCTGTTTGCTGAAGCCAGGCGAGGGGGAACCAATCAAAAGGGGCTTTCTGGAGTTCCATGCTTTAGGAGACAGGAACTAAAAGATCAGATCGGTTGGAAAATAGATAAACCTGGGATTTCATTAAGGGTCATGTGTATATATGAATATAAATAACTGGCTACTAAAATAATGCATTTTGGTTTAAGGATTAATAGCCTGTACTAAATCTGCACCTCTGCTCAAAAGTACCACATTCAATGTGATTGGTCAAACTGCAGTTGTCCATTTTTAAGGCTAAGCATGTTGGTTATTTGTGGGTAAACATGTCTGTCTTCTGTCTCCTCTGCAGATCCAGTGTAGCAATTGCCAGTTTGTGTGGTGCTTTAAATGCCACGCACCTTGGCACGACGGGCTCAAATGCCGCGACTACAGGAAAGGAGACAAGCTGCTACGTACCTGGGCGAGCGTCATTGAGCACGGACAGAGAAACGCCCAGAAATGCCCCAAGTGCAAGGTGAGACACTGATGAACGACACACGCCACAAGCTTTTAGTTTCCAACATTTTGGGAAGAGGACTCCTGAAAGCAGCCACAGTGTCTGTAAACAGAAAGGGATTTGACTGATGGAGGGTGTTATCGGTGTAGATGAATGAATCAATGAAGGTTAAGAAGCATTGAAGCAGCTGTAGATGATGGATGGAGCGCTGTAGAGAACAGGATGGATGCACAGATGTAAAAAAAAAAAAAGCAAAAAAAAAAAAGCACGTGTGGCAGCGGCAGTCCACGCTGAAAAATGATGGCCATGTGTGCTGCACAAAACCATATCTGGTAGACTCACTGGCATCTCCCTGCTAGCCATAATACCAGCCTGGTCTTATCGTGCAGTCTCATTACGACCAAGTTGGTCTACGCAATATCTAATTTGACTGTCAGATGACTAAAGGAAGACATAAATTAAGCTAATTACCGGTATATGGGAACTGTTTGCTCACAGCAGTAAACACTTTCCATCTGTGTTTGTCACACTGGTGCTCCATGGCTCTGGAAGCAGGAAGAGGAGCTCATGTTTGATGAAGACAGCAGATTGGTGTCAAGTAAAAGAAGCTGCTCAAAGCTAGTTATTGCTGAGGTTATAGAAAGTCTGCTCCCTGATGCGTACTGCTGATGTACTGTACTACTGCGGATGCTGTTAGATGCTTATAGTGTACAGCTCGAAACCGAACGAGACTTCAGGTATTGCACTAAAGCGATAGTGGATAAGCTGCACTATTGAGATTCAGTTAATGTTACATCACCTCTCTTTGTTTTAATCTTCGTCTGTAGATTCATATTCAGCGTACGGAGGGATGCGATCACATGACCTGTGTGCAGTGCAACACCAACTTCTGTTACCGCTGCGGAGAGCGCTACAGACACCTGAGGTGTGTTGTGCTCCACTTTCTTCATTCTGGCTGCTTTGTCCGCCCATCTCTTCTCTCCGATTTCATCTTTTGCTTCATTTTGCCAGCAGATTTTTTGGGGACCACACATCCAACCTCAGTGTGTTTGGCTGCAAGTATCGCTATCTCCCCGATAAACCTCATCTGAGACGGCTAATTAGAGGCTCTGTCTGTGGTAAGTTGCTGCGTGTAATTGATAAAGAGATGTTTTCATAGCATGTTTGCTCTTTTCAGCTATAGTGAGCTTTATGCTAACACAGCTGCATGTCTACAACTAGGAGTGGCCCGTTATGGCAGTTACCGTGTGTTCTGCCACAGATTTAAACAACAGAGCTGTTTGCTCAAGCTGTGATGAGAGTGAACTCTGGTCACTGGCTTTGTCACACAACAGTAGTGTCAGACTAGGACAATGTCCTCTGCTCGTTACACAAGTGTGTGCAAGACGAGTAACAGACACCTTACATCCAGAAAACTCAGGGGAAGTACCGTATGTGTGCTTGACTGCACCGTGCCCCAATTTTCTACTTTCAAGTAATGTGTTGATGCTTTGGACAGTTGGACAGTGCTTTTGAAATTACAGAGAACCAGTACATTCCCTGAAAGTTTCAAGAATATTATTGGAAATGATTTCTTTTCCCTCATATGTACAGCACAAGGTTTCATTTAGCTGTTGTGTCCAAGTTTCAAATGTCAAGCTGTCGAAGTATTTGGAGGTAGTCCTCCTTCTTTATTATCCCATGCGCTTTGTGCAGTGTATGGAGTGCCAGTGCAGCTGCTACTACCACCGTGCTTTACTCCTGCTATCAGACCTCCTGTAATTGAGGCAAAATAACTCACTCTTTGTTTTGTCTGATCATGAAACTTTTCTCCAGAAGGCACTTGTCCTTGTAGCTGTAAATTTCAGTCGAGTTTGAAAGTGTTGATTTTTTAACTTTTGGAAAGCATCCTCTCAGTTCCTGGTGATGTAAAACTTCACTGTGGACAGTTACCTGTTTACGGCAGGGTTGAGCCTTGATGGTTCCTGAACATCCTAACCAATCCCCTCTCATCTGAGGGTGACAGTTTGGGTCTTCAAAGTGGCACAAATGCTTGTACTGAAAGTATAGTTGTTTGAACCAATCTGGAGTTGTTTTTGGCCTCTTGTTAGAAAATGAAGGTGTGTTTTCCTCCACGGATAAGTCTCCATTTTGAAACACAGTATGACCGAGATTTACAAAATACGCTTAATTTTTATTTTGGTGTGACCTGAAATGAGTGATTGAGCCTGTAAATTCAATCAGGGTTAGCGTTAGGTGCCTTTGAGTTGCAGTCTTTTTAATGGCCAGCAGGGGCCGACTCCTGTGGCTGCACAAAGATCTTTGGCTGTAAAGAAGTGTGTGGACAAACAGCCCTCGCCTGCTGTTTCTCTGTGACCTCAGTCATCACGCTCCTGTTGACTTTATCATCATCATCATCACCTTTATTTATGGTCTAAGTTGTTACTTTCAGGTCATACTGAACAAAACACGCAGTCCATTTTGTAAATTATGGTCATTCTGAGAGTCAGAAAGGAGGATGATCCAGGCTATCCTCATGTGCTAAGGACTTGTTGATCACAAGTCAGCTTCACAGTCAGATCGGCGCCTTGAAACCACAGCGAAGACGCTCAGACTGAGGCTTTATAACCGTCTATGGGCTGCACTGAAGCAGGAAGAATTAGTAGGGATACTCCTTACCACGTTCAGCATCCTGTCTTAGTGTTTTAGCGCGATTGCTAAGAAGTATTAAACACAGAGAAGAATAGAGGTATTTGTACTTTTAACAGTTTGAAGCTATTACAGTTTGGATCAGAGTGGCGGAACAGCCGGAATTAAGCAGACTTGCCATCCCTAAAGCTCCACTGCTTGCATCACTTTAATGAAAAAGCCTTTCCTGGGGCTCCTGCACTTAGAAACCAGATTCTCTGGTTTCTAAGTGATTGATGTGAATTCACCACCCAATAACAACAGAAGTGAACATATCCACATCTACCTCTGTACTTCATTCGTGAGATTCCTGATGAAGCATGATTAGAATCACATATCAGATGTTCATTCTTATTATCCATTCACGGTTATCAAATACATGCAATCCCCTCTGATAGCTCTCTTTCACTCTGCTCTCAGCGACAGCTTCAGCTCGTTATGTCAGCAGGGTGCCCGTGAACCGGGAGCTAATTTGTCGCTTAACACGAGCCACTGGCCCATTACAGCGCTCATAACTGCTCTCGTGCCATGCACTGCTAGCGGCAAAGATGTAGCATTTAATAAAGAACATTACACTGCGGATGAAGTAATTTGTAGTTACAGTAACTTCCATCCCGCAGCTATTCACCGATGACCAAATGTCGCAATTTATGAAGAGAAAAAAAAATGACAATCATCTTTTCCTCTGCCTGTGTCTCTCTGCAGCCTCTAAGGTGCTGATAGCTCCTGTGGTCATTCTGCTGGTCGTGGTGCTCGGAGCTCTCGCACTGGTGATAGGTAACATATTACAAACACACGTGAGCTCTAATCTGCTTCGGTGAGAGCATTTAACACTTATCAGCGAGATGGTTCGCCTTGTTGTTTTCCTCCAGGCTGCTAAGGAGCTCTCTTATCATCTGTTTTCGGTCATGGGCATCTTTTTATTTTCTGTAAAAGTTCACTTTTTCTGTTCAAAAAGGACAAAGCTGTTGATCCAGAGAAACACTATAATGGAGTAACTATTGCTTCCTGGAAGGACAGGACTGTGCAAGTGTTTAGTCACCCCTAATTTCTTTGTATTTGGCTTCCAATGAACAAAGCTTTCTAGTAACTTTTTATGGTGGTTTTGAGCATCAGTTCTCTGGGCTTTCTGAAGGTTGTCATAGGACATTGGGCTGCTTCTTCACTCTTTTTCAGTCCAGTCCCTGTACCTGACCTGAAGCTTAAAAATATAGCTAACACAAAGGATGAACTAGAGTTCAGTGTCTACACAGAAGAGACAACCTAGCAATGGACCAATTTCAGTTTTATCTTTAAAATTTGCACTTTGTTATAGCAAAAACATATCATTTGTTCCTATTTTTTATAGATAAGAAAGATAAGGCAGTTTCACAGGTATGAAATAATATTTTTGCACCAGCAAAGTGATTCCCAAAGAGATTTTAGCTGGAAGTTGTGCCCCTAAAGATTTGAGGGAGACGAGATTTACAGCGGATGAACAGTAACTTAAGAAATAGCTAGAAATTCAACACAGACCTGACAAGAGGGACCCGAGAGATGCAGCTCCCCTTCAGAATTTTTTTTCACTGAAGCCTCATCTTCATTTTGCAGCATGAAAATGATCCCAAACACACTGCCAATGCAGTAAAAACATATCCTGATTTAAATAAAAAGCACACAGTGGAACACTATCAGTCATGGAACAAACGTCAGCCAACATCAGCATAAGAGCTTTAAATGTCCTTCTAGAAGAACTATTCCTAAAGACTACTTAAAGAAAGCTGCCTAAGAGAGTTCAGTCTGTGTTGAAGAACAAAGGTGGTCATGCCAAATATTGACTTTAAAGCCCTTTAAGCTTCGTGTATGTTTGCAGGTTTTAATTCATTGCTCCAGTTTTCCCTGCAAAATATAAAGAAATGAGGAAGGTCAGGGGCTCAAGACTTGCACAGTGCTGTACATTTGTAGGAACATCCAGCTACAGACTAATCAGACTGCACTGTGAACTGCTCATGCCTCAGCTGACCTGTAGTTATTAGTGTAATTATTGTTAATCTGTTTCCTGCGTCTGTAAGTCCGACTGATGGTCCTCTGCAGACTGATAGTCATGCTGGCGGGTTCATCATTAATAGAATCAGTGTTGTGCTGCCGTCTCTCTCCGATGCCTTTCAGCTCCACATTTGTTTGCAGCGCTGCACAACAGAGAATATTTAATGCTTGTAGATAAGACAGCGGTTTGACCTCTCTTGCACTTTCTGCCTTCTCTGTTTGTAGGGTTGGTTGTTTTCCCGATTTATTACGTGTGCAAGAAGAGGAAGAAGCAGCAGCGCACCAGAGGCTCCGGACGATGGATCTGAAGCTCGTCCTTCTTTCCACGCAGACCTCACACACACACACACACACACACACACACACACACACACACACACACACACACACACACACACACACGGTTTGGAAAGACAACACCCGCACCTCCTCAGGGACAGACCTCCCAGCCTGAGTCATCACAAAACTCTTGAGATGAGCAACACAAACTAAACACTGGCAGTTAGGAAGGACCTCAGGTGGAATGATGTACCTAAATCTATAACGTGAGGACTACATGAATGCACATCTTTACATCTGGATTATTGCTCTCAAGTGGGACTACTGCAAAATGAATGCTGGATATTTACGCAGAAGAGTAATTAAAAAAAAAAAAGTTAAAAAAAAAAAAGCAACCCCCCCCCGATCAGCTGCTGTCTTGCACAGTGCTCGTCACATAGAGGATGTTAAATGCAGGAACTTCTGAGGACTTTCTTGGATACACTGCAGGAAGTTTAAATCAGTGCACATTTTCCACGAATGTCACACTTTTTATTTCATTATTTTAAAGGAGAACAACCATAAATCGCAGCTTAAACAGCTGCAGTTTGGTTTGCGCCCTTGCTTTCCTACCTGCGGTTAGTTTGACGCTGAGATGTAGGAATACTGTGGACACGAGGCTTTGATTGTGTCGGATACCGGTAATTATGAAGGTGCCAGAAATGCCAGCTGCACGGTGATAGCAGAGCCTCGCGGATGAAAAAGAAGGAAATACGTTTTTATTCATTTGCAAAGGTTGTTTTTGCCGCTGTTGGCTGCAGGAAAAAAGGGTGAGAAATGGAAATGAATTTGAAACAAGCACTGATATCAAGTTCTCACCGATGCAACGCAAGCTGGACCTCAATTTTTCCCAGCGTAGGTCAGATATTTGGAAAAATTTCCATCGCAGTTTGAGTATCTGGCAAACCGACAGCGTGGACAATAATGTCAAAGGAAGGATGATACTTGACTATTCTGGGTAACAGCGACTGCCTCTCAAATTCTCGCTAGAAGGTTTGAAGATTGGGTGTGTACCCAACCTTAAGAGTGACGTCTGGTGTTAAAGACCGCACACACACTAACACACACGAAAGTGAAACTTTGGAAGGCCCTTTGGAGTTCTAACAAGCCTCTGTTGTTTTCTGTTATGGTTTTCCATCAAACCTTCATCCTGTCTGTCCCCGTCTCTCTTGCTGTCTTTTTGTCCCACCTCTCTGTCTGTCTGTCTGAGCTGATGCTGGTTTACACTCTCCCTCTCTGCATGGCATGTTGTTTCCAGTGAGCCTACATGCTGTATGCCAGTATCTGCATCATCAAAAAAAAAGGAGCTGCTGTGCCAAAACAAAGCGCTGAATATGGCGGGATAGACGGTTTACCGTTTCCCTTTGTTATTTGTTTTGTTTTTATTGTTCTTTTAGACGTGAACTTTTGCAGGGGTGTCGATGAGGTGTAATGGAGTGTGCACAAGAAATGGGGATCAAAACAAGCTGTAGAAGTACGGTAGATAGTTGGAAAGTGCTCAGAAGACCAGAAACTGACTGAAAAGACAGAGAATAGAATGTAGAGTTAGGCCCGCGGTTTACCAAAGAGCTAAACAGGGTGTTATTGTTCTTAAGGTCATCCAGTTTATTTGGATGTCAGCTGTATGTGGATAAGTTTTGTGTTTGGTTTTTTTTGTTTGTTTGTTTGTTTGAAGCTGTCTGCCTGCTTGACAGTTTGGATAGTGACAAAGCAGTTTTGATGCAAACCTCTGAATTCATTCGCACTGGCACGAGAGAGAGTGCGCACAGCGAGCGCTGCCAGGAAACGACAGATTTTTAAGAGCTTTAAAGGTCGCCACCTGGCAGCAGTCAGCCAGCTGCTCTCTCCACTTATCCTGTCACTCTTTTTGGTTTTTGCTTTATTTCATTTTTTTTTATATATACCTTTGATGCCTCGTGATTGTCCTTTAACATCTTTTGTCCGTGCCGCTGCCCCGTGAGGTGTGACTGGACTCTGACCTCAGCTGTGAGTGGATGTGGAGAGGCGGGTGATTACAGTACAGGTGGAAAGTTTGTGTCTGTGCATCCGTAGCAGTTGCTGTCGGAGCGAATATTACAGCACGTTTCATCACTGAAGCAGATGATTGGATGATTTGCAGTGCAATGCCATTAACTGGGATTTATCCCATGACCTGATCTCTTTTCTACATCTGGGAGTTAACACATACAACGTGTCAGCTGTAGGCGCAATATACATACACAGATTGTTACACACCCGATCTGAACAACCACAACAGGGTCACGATTCTGGGTTTGAATCTGTTCTCAGGAAGTTTGCTTTTCTCTTCACTGTAACCCAGAGACTCCCATCTTACCTGAGCTGTGCCACAGATATCCTCAACTGCACTCTAGAGTCGCAGCTCTTCCTGATGCCTGGAGCTTCAGGGATTAGAAACCCTGGTTTAAATTCCAGGAAGTAAAACCACTGTAGTGTCAAAAGAAGATCAAACTGTCTGGGTGCAGCCGCCACTGTCCGGTCTGCACTCTGGTCACGGGTTAAACCTGTACATTACAATATGTATTAGTAAATCAGCAGCATGGAGGCGGGTGTGCAATGAATGGGCCAAACTGAATGCTTTTAACATTTACTCACATGCATTTCATGCAGGCACGTTTCAGCTACACTGGTGTATTGAATTGCTGCTTGTTTTTTTTTGTTTTTTTTTTTAAAGTTATTAAATGGTTGACAGAGAATATGTCCTTTAGACTATTGTCCTTTAGCATTTTCCTAAATTTAAATTTTTCTTTAATGGTTAGCTCGTAGAAAAAAAAAGATGGCAAATTTGCCTTTTGTTTTTGGGGTTTTTTTGTAAATACAGATAATTGAGGTCTTATGGGATGGTTCTTTTCCATGTCACATCAGGTTTTTACCCTTTTATACACATCTGTGTTGCATAACTCTGCCCAGTGCTAATGCCATGCAGAAATCCCATCTTTGTTGTTACTGTTGTTGTGTTACTATAGCCAGGAGCTCTTTGGTTAAAGCTGTAACCAGAAGCTGCTCTGTATATTCATTTAGTGACATTAGAGTTGTTTCAGGTCATGATTTTTTTCCCCTTGCTGGGAAGCATTGGCTGGTTGACACCCATGGTCTTTGTTTTGTTTATATGACATTCCCGGTTTTATTGGCATAAATATGCAATGGTGCCTTCACATCAACAATAGATCAGATTACCAACTTTTTATTCAGGGTCCTGCAAATATTACAGACAAGGGTGCAGTCTTATCAGCCTGCTGTTGTATGTGTTATTTATTAGAACAGTTAATAGAGCAGTACAACAGGCTTCTTGATGTAAAATAAATTTGTCTGAAACTACTGTTGAAGGAATATATATTTATGGATGTCTTACCCATACCACACAGAAGATATGCAGATGACTCAGTGTTTTCCTGCTAAAAATATGTTTTATAGCTTCAGATTAAACTAAACTTCTGAAATTTTATAAGTGCCACAATGCAGTGGGTTTCGCTACATCCCAAATACTCTTTGTACCTTTTTGCACAAGTTACTCTGTCACCATGTTTCCGACTCGCTCTTTGGATTAATTCGAGGAGGCTATTGCACTCATCAGATGAATATAATTTAAGGCCAACACGGGACTAACCCTGTCTCGATGAAAGAGTTAATCACGCCAAAAAAAAAACGATTTCAGTGTCATTTCAGCATAAGTTTGACTCAGGACAAGTGATGTTGCAATATGGTGGTGTACTATCAGTAACATCGGGTTGGGTTTTCCCTATCTAGACATGCAAAGTTGTTGGAACGACAACAGCAGCAGGTTTATGTGTACACGCCACACAGTTATCCACGGGTATTCCTATTCAAGGAAATGTTAGAGACGCTTGATGAGTATGTTCCTTGTTTTCACCAGGAAAACCTTCTTCCACCTGCTGAAACATCTGCTAGTAATATTTGTTATTGTTGCTCACTTAGCCAGGCACAAACACTGTTTTCTCCTGAACATTTGCTTTATTAACGGAGAATAAAGTAAAGTAAGTCAAATGCCAAAGTGCCCCGGTTTGCCTGATTCTTTTTTATATTAACGCATCACCGAAACACTCTGCTTCTTTGTTCGTAGATAAAGTGGAGGCCTCTCTCAATTATGCAGCTCTTTCTGAGGTCTGTTTGACAGGGTGTTTAAGTGGCTACAGTCTGTGTATTCGTGTAAGCACGGCTGTGACTGCAGTTTTATGTCAGCAGGGGTCATAAGTGCACCAGAGGAGGTGAAGCCAACATAACCATGGGCAGTCTAAGGCCAAAACCTCATTATTTCCTATGAACAAGTAGACACTAAAACAGCGGTGTAATGAATTCTGAAAAAAAAATGGCAGATTCATTAATGGCTTAAAAACAAGTAATAACATTAAGTGTAAGTGGCTTATTTAGTGTTCAACTGAAGTGTGAGTAGTCGTGTCAGGAGTGGTACAAACACACCAGTAAGAGCAAAGCCAACCTTATTTACTTTACTTAAGTACTTTAAAAACAGAAACCACTGACCAAAGTGTTAAACACGGGAATAAAAATACATTAGAAAAAATTACATGAATAAATATAATTAAATTACAGCACAAAATGAAATCGATTAAAAAATGTACAATTAGACATGAGTGAAATAATAAGTGCACAGACAGTGCAGAGGTGTAGTACATGCACTACTTTATATGTACTACTAGCTCACAACATCCAAGATGGTTACATTTAAATATTTACCTTATTTTTATCTCTTTATTTGTATTTTTATGTTCCGGTTTGTTTGTTTTTTAATAATGAAAATGAAAATATTTCTCCACCTCCAACAAACATTTATTTTCTGGACCTTTGTCGCTGTGGCATCTTCGTTGTGTCCACCGAGCGCAGCTTCCTGTGCACGGAGCAAATTAACTACATTAAAACTGCGCGCGCTCATTGGCTCGCGCTGCAGGCTCCGCCCGGGAACTGGCCCAGCGCGCGTGACATCCAAGGAAACTTGACACACGGACTGACCCGAGGAGCGGTGCAGCTGCCCGTGCGGCCGATCCTTGTTGACTCAGAGCGCGTTTTTTTTTATTATTATTTGTTGTGAAGCTCACCTGTGCGTCGCTCATGGAAACCAGGCAGCAAGGTGAGTGAGTGCCGTTTCTTACCTCTCAGACCGGGATAACTGAATCCGCAGCGTTACTTTTTGTTTCCAGTTGATCTGATAATGAGTTGAACTTGAGTGTTGCACGCGCCACTGTTATGACGTCGCTGTGGGAATGGAGAAGAGGGGGGAAAAAGTGTATAAAGCGGAGCATCTGCTGCTGCTTATGTCAGCTTCATCTGTTGCTGCATGGCGCCTTCAGTGTAAAGACTGTTTGTTGAGGGTGCTGCGTTTTTAAGAAGCAGTGCAACAGTTAAGAAGCTTCATGCACACACACGCACGCACACTGTAAGACGACATGGAAACTCCTGACCAAATCCTGGGCTGGCTACTGTTTACCCCCTCTATGTGGTGACTTTCAGGCTATTTGTGGAAGTTCTGCAAAGCCAGAATGCTTTCTATTCACCTCAGGAATTGGCTTAGCCCCCCTCCATCCTTCCCCTGTCCACTACCTTTGCGCTTTGGTCTGCTGCAGGTACTGCAGGAGATAAAATCACTGCTGCAAAAGGCTTTACAGAAGACGCATTGCTTTCGTTTTCTACAGCAGTGCAAAGAATCTGTGTTGTTTTTAGAATACAGAGTGACTCCAAGCTATAGATAAATAACGTTGACTGACTGCTCAGACCAAATGAATTGTGAAAATGAAAGCTGGAGCTCGAGCAGTAGCTCTGCTTGTGTGGGATATAAAGGATTGCTTATTCAGGTAGGTAATTGCATTCTTTTGCAGTCTGATTCTAAATAGGTACCTGTTACAGCTAACAGGAAGCCGGAAAGGCTTAGAGAGGGAGGAAAAAGGGGGGAAAAGACTCTGATATGGGAATATGAACTTTATAATCAACTTATTTGTTTTTTATAAAGCAATACTTTTGGTTATATTTCATGGTTACCCATGTACAAGCAGCTGTAATGTCTGGAACAGGGATTTTTTTTGTGTTAACTGCTGTAAATGTTATGTGCAGTATCTACTGTTTGCCAGCTTTAATTAATTTTTTCAGCCGTATGACCATCCCCAAGCCTCTGATTTAGCATAGCCACATGACCGCTGGGCCGAATGGTAATCTTGTGACCAAAGGTATTTCACCCCCACAAAAAAGCAGGGGGAGGGAGGAGACACACAGAATGGACAGTAAAGAAGGAGACAATTTTCTTCTGAGCACCCTATGACATAAATCAGTGTTAGTGCTAAAAGACCCTCACAGTCTGGTATGACCTGCTTTGAGTAGCTAAAATCACACATGTTGCTGTATAAGACCCACCTCTGAGGAAATTATTCTTCTTTATTACCATAAAACATGCTTTTTAGATTAAAATGTATGCTCAGTGTTTTTCCACCCAAGTACGTGATCTTTTTCTTCCCTGGAAAAACTGTTTTTGCCAGTCAGCTTTGCCTCATTGTCAAAATGTGGAACCAGAGGGACATATTGTAAGTGAAACTGGCCTTATCCTGGCCAACTTCCTCCTGTAGTGCTGGAGTGTGGTGTAATGAGATTTCATCTGCAAGAAGGGAGCTTGTATTGCCTAATAGCTTCAGATATTCTTTCTGGATTGTTTCAAAGTTATACAAGATCCCATTGTGAACCCTCTGTGGCACTGATTTCTTCTTGGTCTGGGTCTCTAAATAATAAGAAGGAGCTACATCATGTTTAAAGAACTCGGAGAAGTTCATATCAGTGGCACATAGGGTCAAAAGTCAGGTTTCCTGTTCCTGCACTGAGCTGGGCCTAACTACAGCTGTCAGGGAGGAGAAGTCTCCATGTTTGCATGTATAACCGGATTTCTTGTGTCCCCTCACCCTGCTGCCTTGCTCCGCTGCAGAGATGTACTCTAGTGTTCTGAGTGGATCAGTGGTGGACTGGGGCAGCATGGGCCCCGGAGAGGAATGGGTTGATTCAGCCATACACGAGGGAGAGCAGGGTAAGACTCAACTCTCCCAGTAAAGCAAAAGAAACCCGTAAATCCACCCTGAATCACAAAAAGCATAAAACCACGTCATGCAGTGGTGCTCTGAGCAATGCTGAAGCAGTAAAGGTGCAGAATGTTTAAAGGTGCCTGTCTATAGGAATTACTGGAGCACTTATTGCCCTTCTGTTATTCAGTGTTGATTTAATGAACAGTCAGATGAGTGAGTTTGGTCTGTGCGAATAAACCAACAAGTAAAAAGACAAAAAGACTGGAATTTTATTCCTTAAATTGAAGGGAAAGTCATTCCTTTCATTGAATTTGATATAACTTTACCCAAAGCAGCAGTGATCAGGCTGATTTGAGTGCATGATACCTGTTAAATCACAAATAATCTATTTTTTCAAAGACCTGAAATATGAATGTATATGTGGGAATGCATTTAAACCACACGAAATGTTTCTGCAATAGAACAGAAAAAGATATACTACGTGTAATATGACAGGTTTTTGCTCATAGCTACAGAAAATTATGGTCCACCTCAGCCCTTCAGAGCATTTTAACATCTTCGGTGGATTGTTTCGGTATCGCGGTACACAACGTTACCGTTTCATTTAACACTCTCAGCTCTCACCAATTGTGTTTTCTTCCACTACATGCAGCTGTCTCCTTTAAAAAGCCTCCATAGGTTTTATGAAACCTTGTAAATGCTAACATTGTGTCTGCTGGGTGAAGTTTCGACGTCTTTCATCAGTTTTGGAAGAAAATGCAATTCTGTTACAGTGCAAACCATTTGAGGGATATACTGTATACGTAAAACCACTAGCAAAAAACGTTGGCAGTTATATGAGATGTTGCTGACTGATAGGATGATTTCCTTAGTATGAAATTACTCACATTCCTGTGTTTCCCTTAAACCAGTAAGCACTCTGTTCTGTCTGCAGGAACTTCCTGTATGCTTACAGGCAGTTTCACAGCCTGTGAGCTTTCCCACTTTTGCCTTTTTCCCCTTCCTTAAGCTAAAATATTAAATAAGAACTAATTGCTTGCAAAATTAAAAATTCTGTTTTCCTCAGGTACTGAACATGTTTTAAACTGTGACTTTACTCAGGTTTGAATCAAGGTAAGCTTTACCCCTCTGATGAGGAGTCCCTTAGGAAAAGCTCATATGGTTTTACCTCCGTCGTCCAAAATGGGGAAAACCTGACAGAATGGGGTAAAACTTCACCCTCAGGGGACAGCCGGTGGGGTCACACATCAGTGTCTGACACCTGGGCCACGTCCACCGCTTGGGATATGCAGCTGGACAGCACAGGTGACAAGGGATGTAGATATAGAGCCTGTAGATTAGATCAGTCGTTCACTTTGGCTGAACATTTAAACCTACAGCTACCCCTAGGGCTTCTGTTGGCACAAGCAACATGGTAAGCATCAGGCAATCTGATCTGTGACAAAGCTATTAAAAACTAAATTCAGTCTTTTATCTCAGTAACGATTGAATTATTTGTATCTGCCGATACATGATTTTTGTGGTGTCCTCAAATGAGAATGCACTCAGAGGTGGCAGTGACTGTTGTTTATCACTCGTGTCACGTTAACATAATAGCCATCTAGAATTTCACATGGGATGTATCCCTAGCGGTTATAATTAAAAAGCAAACACACAGACCCCACTGTATATAAAACAGTTTGCATTTAGTCTCAAATATAGACCACACTCAGCCTAACAGCAGCAACAAGGAAAATGCAATCAAACAATTAACCAATCAGATAAATTTAATAAATCCAAATTCCTGCAATTTTTTGGGGAATTTATTTTCTTTCTGTTACCAAGTGTCTACAATATGTTAAGTGTTCAATCAAAAGTTTTTTTTGTTGTAGAACATAGTTTTTATATTGTATATTGTATATTGTATTATAAAAACAACATGAAATTAGCATTGTAACTTTTCACAAAGTTTAATCTTCTCGTTGTTAGATGTTGCCTGCACATT